ATAGATAGATAGATAGATAGATAGATAGATAGCTATCTATCTCTATCATATATATATAGAGAGATATAGTAGATGAAGAGGACCACTTCTATAAATTGTAAAAAAAAGATTGAAAAGAAAAGTAGGTTTTTTTTTTTTTGTTTTTGGGGGGGGGTTACTGTAGTTCACATACTACAGTAACCTGTGCAACACACACACACACACACACACACACACACTTTGTCAACTGCAAAAGCACAGCTGAAGCTAGAGGACATGACACTTCTGTGAATAAGAAGCACTTGATTCTTAAGTTGAACAACTCTGCAGAGTCTGCTTGTATGGCTTCTGACATGTGGCACTGATGAAATGCAGTGGCAATATTTCACACATCTATTAAACAACTTCTCATGGTAGTTTTTTTTTTTCTTCAGAGGAACACAAGAGGATAAGATCAACATGGGGCTTGAAAGAGTATCTTCAGCTGGAAAAATAAAATACCCAGGAAAATATCTGTTACTTTACCAGTGCGTCTTTTGAGCTGTCCTAGGTGGCCAAATGCTTTACTATACTATGTTTTGAATCAGATAATAGTTTTGTGTAGTATGTCCCTTGTACCATAATTACACTTTAAAGTGCAAGTTGCCAACCTTGAGCTAAGGAGCATTTAAGAAAATGGCAACAGCAAAACCTGCTACTACTTGTGAGAAGCATTAGAAAGCTAGCAGTAAAAGGGTATTTCTCTACCATATAGTTTGATTTTATTCTATAATTCTCGGGTGTCATCAGAATTATTGGGGTCACACTGCCCTCCACAGGCTAGGGATGAAGCCACATGTGGAGCCACACACGGAGGAGAAAAAGAAACTACTTTTTGAACCTTTTAGTTACTGACGTATTTTTTCAAGAACACATACTGTCCTTCAACTCTCCTGCTGCTTCATCTCTCACTGCGTGCATCACATGCACAGACACCAAACTGCTGTACACACAGCCCTGCTTGAAAAATGCTGCTCGCACATTCACGTCCGAACACACACATTGAAGCACACACTTGGAAGAAGGGACATTTTAACTCTCAATTCATCGGGGACTCATACCTGTGATATGATAAATGGAGTATGTTCCTTATCAGCGTCACAAGCACAAGGATACAAGCACACCCTTACAGCTGGACAGTGAGGAAAGTGTCAGGGGACCTAATTATGAACAGGAGTATGAGTTGTAACATTAGGATGAGGGAAGAGACAAGAGCTGAGAAGTCCATAAAGTGAAAGGATGAATAACGGGGAGATGCTTAGTAGGGGAGATGTAATGTGAAATTTCTGCTTATCTCTCCAGTTTTCCATTTTTGGTGGGCTTGCACACATCACCACCTATCAGGCAGGTTAATCTGTGAGCGTATCAACTGATATTAAGATATATGTACTCCCGAAAAAAAAGCTCCTGACTCCTCAATGTACAGAACTGTGCAAAAGTCTTGAGCTACCCCTTATTTCTATATATTTTGCTTCCAATGAACCAGATTTTATGGGCATTTTTTGAAAGTGGTCTTAAGCGGTAGTTCTCCAGGCTTTCTAAAGGTCTTCCAAAGTTTTTCTTTAGCTGTCTTTTCACTCATTTTCAGTCCAATCCTTGTACCAGAACATTTTCAGAGTGAGTCAACTTAACAAAGAAGCAATTTTAAAGATTGAATCTTTAAGCAGTTTCTTAATAGACATCTATCAAAAACACATACTTGGCTGCCATTTCTTTTGTTGATTTTATAAAAATTGCCAAAGATGACACGGTTTGACAGACGGAAAACAGTACTTTTATACAAACAAGGTGATTTACAAAGAGCTATTTGCTGAAAACTTACCATATATTGACATTGTGTGCAGTGTGTAGGTAGATGCATCTCTCAAGCTGCATCTACTGTTCACTGAAGCCTAAACAGAAATGATGTCAGCGAAAGTGTGGTTTTCAAAGAGGAATTCTTATGACATTTTAAACTGGGAGAAAAGGCTAAGGTATGCTAAATTACTCAAGAATCAGACTGAAAATCAGCAGTAACAGGTCTTATGGAGTGATAAATACGGTTTCACATTTTTTGCTTCATATCATTGTCAAGTTGAGGAGGTCAGGAGAGAGTTGCCACGCCATCTGTAAAACACGGTGGATGCTCTGTCATGGTTTGGGGTTGTATTTTAACCAGTGGTGTTCTTCTTGTCAGAAAGTGCCATTATGATCAACAATGCAGTACTATCTGGAAAGCATGTGATTAGCAACAGCTTAATTTTTCACCATGACAATGATCCCAAACACACTGTGAATGCAGTAAAATGGAAGACTATTAGTCATGGATTGGCCTCACCAGAGCCCAGAACATTTCATAGAGAAAAGAAAAAAAGGCAGCAAATGTCTGAAGAAGAGAAACCTGAGGAACTATTGACCCTGTGCACGAGAAAATGCTAACTTCCTGGTTTGAGGCCGGATGTGGGGTTGTACATTTCCGGTAGCTTTACTTTGCAGTCAATCGCTACTGCAAAGATATACTCCAAAATCATGTCCAAAACTCAAAAACGGAAAGATCGCGTTAAGTTACAAAGAGCAGAAGGTGGGAACACTCACCGCTGTTGTGTCATAAAAAATCTAATGATCAATTTTGACGTTTAAAGAGTTTAGATCGATCAGTTGTTTACATCACTCAACACAAGCAGAACCGCATCACTGCAGCAGAAGACACATCGTCCACATTCAGAAGCACATCTCTGTATAGTGACTGGTCTCATGATCTAAACAGGCAAATGTTCAGCATTTAAACTACAGGTGAAGAATAGTCCAGATGTTTCCCCCATTATGTCGATATCAGCTAGTCAAGTACACACCTACACAGCATGTTAACAAACCGTGAAAAAAGCCACACAAAAAATGAATGATTGCTGGTAAAGGTTTCTATACATTAGTATTTACGAAGGGTATGTTGTGACTTACCTTAAAAATTACAGTGGTCCCTTGCTATAAATGGTGTGTATTTATATAGCACTTTACTAGTCCCTAAGGACCCCAAAGCGCTTTACATATCCAGTCATCCACCCATTCACACACACATTCACACGTGGTTCACCTTTCACCTCGCTGTTTCGCGGATTTTTTAGTGCAAGTTTGCATGCTTTTTTTTTTTTACGTCACATTGTGTCCTGCGTCCTCATCGCTAGCAGTGTGACTTTGAAGTGCAGTACTGTATGTCCACGATGTCCACGAAACATTTTGCACCGTCAAAAAATAAAATTGGCTACTTGATTTCACCTATCGCTGGTTATTTCTAGAACATAACACCCGCGAGGGACAGCTGAGAAATATAAAGTCGATAAACATCATTTACAGACATATTGGGTAAATGCCCAAGACATCTATAGAAATGTAAATCGCTGCTTGATTCATTCATTTGCTTAACTTGTTTTGGACCGTAAACAGGGTGCGAATAGGACAACGGAAACAAAGCTCCCCACAGGAGTTTCCGCACCGGAAGTAGCATATGCTAACGTGCACACAATCAATTCCTGAAGACTGATGAAGTCTACTTACTTCTGTTTTTGCCCTATACAGTGTATTTCCATTTCCATGTTTCAGTAAATCTTTTAGTAACTCATTGCAAATTCCCAATTTCCTAGAAAAACAGAAAGTTATGAGTGGTGCTTCAAAACATTTCCAAGGTAATGTTGAATTAACCAAGGTTGACCTCAGCAACCCTGGTAAGAACATTTAGCATTTATGTAACAGAATGTTAGAGCTAAGTTTTGCTCTTCCTCTTTAGACTCAGCAAAAGTATGAGGATAACACTGATACCTAAAAAACAGTATGTCCAGAAGGTAGCAGATAGATACGGATAGAGCAGTGACTATGGGTAAAAAAAGATCAAAGTCATCATTTATAACATGACCACTGGAAAGTCTTGCGGCTGTGGGAGTTCAGTTCAAACTCACACAATGATCTTTTCTTCTTTTGTAGTTTTCTCCCTTTAACTACCGGTATCCAAAACACTCGCCTAGCTTGGGAGTCACCGCACCTA